ATGTCGACATCGATCCCCGGTCGAAAACGTGTAACAGTCACAGATTTCGAAGACGCGAGGTCGAAAAGAACAAGAGCGGCAAATCAGGTACCATCACACACACAACGTGGTGAGGCTGGCCGGAGAAGTGAGAACGCCCAAGACCACAACGGTAGTTAATCGGAAACGACGAGAGGAGAGAACGCGAAAAAAGTCGCTCAGTAAACCAACACCGAACTGCGCTGCAAAGGAGACGGACGGACACCACAGAAATTCCGACCTGTTGTGGGCCACTTGATCTCGTCATAATAAACGTAGCGTTGTTAGCATGGCCGTCTGTCTGGTCTATATATAACCTAATCCAGGACTAAGTTATAATCCCTTCGAAAAGAAACACCTCCGCATGCCACAAAACCAGCATCACAACGCAGTTGCCACAAATCTGGTCATATCTGGGGCGCATCGTCTTCCCATCCTCGATTCTCGTCGCCCCAAGAAGGGGAACCCCGTCGACAGTCCGCAAGCGACCAGAGGCAACAAACTCTACAGAACGGCCGCCACACCCCTCGGCATCCGGCCGAAATCTTCCATTGCCCGCCATCAGTACCCCATCGCCTCCATCAGCCTCGCTGAAAGGTCGGCCTTGAGCCCATTTGTGGGAAGGCCGCGTTCCACCAGCGCCTTTTTCAGCTGCGTCACCTGCCCTCCGGTGGGACGGGTCGTGTATTCACAGCAGTTACGGGTGAGGAAAAACGAGGAGCCCGTGTGCCTCCACCAAGGAATAGGCGATGGGTGAGCGCATGCCTATTCGCGCTCTCAACGCTTATTTGAATACGTACAGGGCTCGTTTGATGATGGGGTGTAAGCGTAGTGCTAGGGCGTTTGCGTCAACTATTTAGGGTTAGGGTTAGTACGATAAGCACATAACCGGTGGAGATATGTTCACTTGTTGCGGCCAGTCCTGGCGCATGCGGAACGTGCCGCAAAACGCGGGAAGAAAAAGGAGACGAATAAGGTTTCTTGGTCCGCATGTTAAGGTACGTATATATTGGTTAACAAGAACACGAGAGAGTGATTTGTCAGGTTCACTTCCACCCCCCTGACGCAAGCTCCAATGCAAAGTCATGGTTAATCGTCAACACAACGTCATCAGGCTCGCATGACAAACACCCCGTGATGTCAGCAGAGATTCACCCCCACGCGCTTCTTGGTCCCCTTCACAGATCATACAGGATATGTGTTATTCTAACAGGTGTCAGGTGCAGAATGCGGCCACCGACAGCATTAAAGCACCAAACACATATTCTGCAACGCGGAAGTTTATATCTCTTGCAACAGGTATACCCGAGGCTAGCAAGAAGCAAGACACATCAACAGGGCGGCGTCTTAACACACGCGACATGGACATACATTGCCCCCCAGACCCATCGATTTGCCGGTCCTTTCGGTTTGTCGAGGGCGTTCTTTTCTTAAGCTTCGGAATACACGACGGGTGGTGTATTGGAGGTCTTCATTTTTGGTACAGGGTGGACTCTTGCACAGAGGGCATCGGCATCACCAGTCGCCTGCTACGTACGCATAATTTCCCTCCTCTTGGTTTGGATGCGGGTGATAGGTGGGTCTTTGCTATTGAAATATGTTTGGGTGTTTTGGCAGACATATCAGCAGATAGACTGCTGCACACCCGTGTGCCCACCTTATACGACTTGATGTCAGCTTCGGAAAGCTTGGGCCCTCCTCCGTCCTCCTGCTCCATGTCCCCCTCCCCCTCGCCCGTTTCCGCTGGTGCCTCCGTGGCCGTCTCCTCCGCTGTTTCTGCGGCCGCTTCTTCTCCCCCCTCATCACCAACCCTAGCATCACCACCACCGCGGCCATCTGCTCCCCCCTTGGCGCTACTTGCCTCCTTCCCCTCACCCCCCCCCCCCCCCCCCNCCCCGCTTCTGATGTTGCTGGCGGTTCTTGTTCAGCTTCGCCGTTCCCAGCATCGGTAGCCGGAACCGGCGCCTCCGCCGTCTTCCCCTCCTCTGCACCGTCGACGTCCATGCTTGATGTTTCCGTCGGCTCAGCTTGTGCTGGTGCTGCTGGTGCTTCTGGCTCCGTCGCCGCCGTTCCCGTCTCCGTGGGGGCGGCGGCGGGGGCAGCAGCCTTCCCTGCTGCCGTTACTGCCGTCGCCGGCGGGTCGTGAGGAGACGCCGTTTGTGGCGAAGCCATTTCGACCTCGGTTGTTGTGGCGGTTGGAGGCTTCCCCGCAGCCGCCGCGGCGGCTGGCGCAGCAGCCCCGTTCGCCGCCGGCGCTCCGCCGCCCTGCTTGTAGTTCGCTGACGGGATGATGCCAGCTTGGATCTTCTTGGAGAGCATTTCGATCTACGAGAGGAATAGATACACACGGGAACGAGGAGAGTGGACAAGAAACATGGGCACACATGGAGGGGAGATGAAGAGAGGGAGGACCAGAGAGAGATAGAAAGGCTGTGGCTCGACACTGTGACTCGACGGCGGTGGTGTTCCTAGGCTAATGACACAACAACCCGTCAGGCTATTCTGCCGTGTACTCGGAAGCCGGGAGACCCTCCTCGCAATGTTCTCGCAAGATATGTCACGGGTACATGCCCATTGCAAGCCCCAACCCGAAGGGCAGAGCATTAAAGAGGTGGAAAGGACTCCCCGCCCACAGGAGGCGGTGCATTCACCTTGTACGCATACATGGAAGGGCAAGAGGCGCTATTTCGAAGGAGGACGCGGGGACCATGGTCGATTCACACCTCCTTCGCTTGAACTGCGGTCAAACAAGCAAAAACCCTGCTCTCCTGTACCACTCAACGCGCGAGAAAAAAAACGCGTCGGCCGTCACGCCCACGCGATGACCCCCCCCCTCCAACCGAAAAGAACGCACCTCCTCTACCGTGGTGGCCTTCGCGATACGATCGGCGTAAATGGCTCGGTGCTCGTCTGTCAGCTTCTGCTCTTCCGCCGCGGGGGCGCCCGGCGTAAAGGTCTTAGCCTTCTCCGCCTGCTGCGCCACGTCCTGTATCATCGCCTGCCCTGCCTGTGACCTGGCCAATCGGGCCGCCGACTCTCGCTCCTGGCCACGAGAAATGTAACGAGGGGGGGGGGGGGGCACTTGTTTGGTGCTTGAGAGTTAAGTCATGTGACCATTCATACCTCTCGGGACACCGGGCACAACGACTTCCACGTTAACGACCTACTTTTCGTACCGTTGTTCGTCGATGGCCAACGGACCATTGAACGGCTCGCGCGCACATGCTTAAGCGTGAATGTATACCAAGAAGACGCGACGCGAAAGAATTCGGTCCCAACTACGCGACACAAAAGCGCAGGGGGTTCAAGCACCAAACCAATACCAAGATTACAACAGGTCCAACGACAGCGACCATGGCCAAACTTGCAGCGCCCGGGGTCCGGTACACGGAAAAAATGCGCGCACACACACCACCACCGCTTGAAATGGGGCCCTTGAGAAATCACGACGACCAGGCGAAAAAACTTCGGCACAACTGCGCCTACAACTTCTTCGTGTATCTTCCGTCTCTCTCCCTTCCTGACTCCCCGCTCGAGGCAAAACCCAAACCATCCTCACCTTCACCGTGACCTTCTGGAAATCCAGCTGCTTGAGGCTGGGTACGAGGTTGATCATGTACAGTCGGTAGTACTGTTTGTTTACCACCTCGTTGTGAAGCAAGGAGAGCATCGTCAGTTTCGTGCAGGTGCCAAGACCCTTGAGTTCCGCTAGCGTGGATAGCTGCATGTAGACGGGAGGGTGAGAGGGAGGGTGGACGCGGGGACGTTGTGTGTGTATTAGCAGCTCTTAATCGGTGTTCTCGTCATCACCTCTGCAAGCGCCCCCCCTTCACGGGACGATAGCTCCGAACTTTCGTTTGTTAGTGTTATCGAACCCCGAGAAGCAGTCAACAACGTGGCTGCTCAACTATAACAGCGCACCAGCAGGCAGAAATGCCATACTTCTCTTCCTAGCGTTCCACCGACACCACCACTTCTATTTACCGTAAGAAGCACGATAAAAGGAATCGTCGAACCATCGAACCACAAGAAGCCAATTCGAAACAATCGGAACGGACACGAACGGAGGAGGAGTGCGGCTTCCCTCCTGGTTTTGAGAATAGAGAAAGTACGCCGCTGTACTCATGCAGAGCTATTCTTCGTGTATTTCGCTTCGTGAGTCGCTCGCCCCGTCCTCCTCCCCTCTCCGTTCCACGATGAAGCCCCCCGGATTGACAATCTACGACATGGACGGGACCGAAGAACCTTTGGCTCGGTCCTCTCTACGCCCCCCTCGCCACATCTACCGGCTCGCCTTGTTGTTGGTGAGTATCAGGCAGGAGAGGTTCGGCAAAGCAGTGCCGAGGTCTTCCGAAATCTTGGAGACGTGGTTGTTGCAGAGGAGGAGGGACGACAGGCGCTTGTACCGGGGGAAGTTGTCTAGCTTCTTGATCTCGTTATCCGAGAAGTCCATCGCGTCGAACTGATCTTGGGTCACCTGGTTCACGCGTGGAGACAAACAAAAGCACGCGCACGTACGCCCGCAAGCCGGGAGAGTGCCAGCAGCAAAGGGCGTTTATTCGCTCGCAGCGGAGGAAAATGCGAGAGCCCGCTTAAAAAAAACGGAAGCGGCCACGAGGAAATCGCCGCATCCGGCACCAGCATCAGTGGCAGAGGCAAAACCACGGCGACAAAGAACAGCGACAACGACAACAACACGACGTCGACAAAGATTAAGCGTGTGGCTTGTCACTCTGCCGCAGCCCCCCTCGCCTTTCCTTCACTCCCCCCGCACATACACATCCTTCTCTCTATCCCCCCGTCTCTTTCCCAACCCCCCCCCCCTGCTACTGCCGATGGTGAAACGTTAGGTTGGCCGGGATAACTTAATCAACCCATGGCATATCTGAGTGGCGCAACAAACGCAAGGATGATGATGAGCAGCTCCTGGTTCATCCTTGTGAACCATCGCCCGGGCCAGCAAGCAACCGGCGTATCGTTCCTTCCCGACATTGTAGGGATGCGAGGTAAATGCTCTAACGACTACGGCATGTCGGATACACGAGTATCCCCCCCCCCTGAGAGCCTGGTCCGGTGAGAACCCGGCGTGCTCCGTCCCGGCTTTATAGGGATGCGAGGTCAATAGTCTACGACTGCGGCACGCACGACTATGAGTACAGACACCCCGTGGTCGTGTTTCGTCTCTCACCCCCAAGTTCTCTATCATCGGGATCTTGTACCCACGAAGGTCCAGCTCTCGCTCGTCGCAAGGGTTGATGCTCGCACGAGCGTGCTGGAACGAGCGCAGGCAATACACGATACGCAAAAAGGCGAAGGACACCGAAACATATTAGTTCAGACCTCAAAAAGCAGGTGCATTGCGTGGACGGGCGGGGGAGGTTACGCGAAAACATGAAACATGGATGGAATCCTATCATGTTGGTGTGGGGGCGCTGGCCGGCCTTGGTGACTATTCGACCAATGGGCGGAATACAGCTATTCCAGAAAGTGGTGTCCATGTGAACAGTATCATTCTGGTTAATGCCCGTTTCTGTTGCCTGTACGCGCGGGAAACAAAAAACCGAAAAACTGGCATAAGCTCACTGTTGTCTTTACCACCGACCGTTTCGTCTAACGGTTCTCCGTGTTGATGCCAGTAGAGTTCATCAGTCAGCTCCGACTGGTGCTGCTCCCGATGTTGCTTGATATTCCGCTCCTGATCAACAAGTATTAGCTACTATACCCCCATGGACGCATCACGCCACACGGCGCGACAACCCACCGTCCGTTTAGCAGCAGATGGCCAGGAACGGAAACCCCGACGGGCGCTAGGTACAGCAGCACGGCGAGATAAACACTTTGACAGTTTTTGCCGATTCCTTGCAGGTTTGACCGGTGTTAGGTGCTTTGTTCGCAATACCATCTACGATGGACCTACCCGACAGAAATGTGGTGCCACAGTTCTCGTACATGAACACACCGCAGCGAAAAGCTACAGTAAATGGTCAACGCTGTTGTGTCCGCAGCACGCATGGGAAGTAAACAAAGCACACCAGCAGTTCAGTCCGCAAGACCCCCGCCGACAGTCCCAACAAAGTTTGCACGGCCTTATCGAGATCGTGAAACTGGTGTTTCTACAAGCTGGTACAGCAGTGAATGGTACCGTTTCGCTAGGGCGACGCTATGTGACGGAACTTATCTTTCGAGAACCGAGAGAACCGAAGAGAGGTGTCGGTAGGCTGAACATCCCGATACAACAATCGATGGCGATACGCGGTTCATCACGACGACATAATTCCATGTATTTACTGCTGGGGTACGGAAGCCCTACTTGAGACATGTCAACTGCACCAGCATGGATATTCCTGTTTACATGGTGCAGCGGGACGCCGCAATGACAGCGTGCCCTCAAGACATACGGATGGAAAGGTCGCTTCTGTACAACTGCGGCACAAGACTGATCGCTGTACTGCTGCATAGGCTCCATCCAGAGAGCAATGCAAGATCGCCGCCAACAATCTCTACCTGTCGCAGCCAGCCTTCAAGCAGAGCATAACTCGCTGCTATCCAACATATGGTAGACGTGCGCTCCAAGGCCATGACCTACCCACTCACAGCGGCATACACCGCGCCCCATGTAGGGTAAAACTCAAACTTGTCTGATGTGCGTGAGACATGGCCATATGGCGTCGTCAAGTTTTCTCAGGCAGCGTGACTCTTCTTTGTACTGTGACGGACTTTGGCATCACAAACGCAGGTGGGTGCAGGGACCATGTTCACCAACAGCGAGGCAGGCTGAAGGCTATGTATATCAAAAGATCAGGGGGCGAGGAGGACACCCCGACACCCGGTGCCCATGTGGATCCACCAATAACAGCAATGACAACAGCGGCGCACAACACCGCTTGAAAAATTGACCTGCTGTGTTTGCATTACGTTTGGTCGTACTCTCCCCCCGCCGTCGTTTCGGCTACAGACACACCAGCCTCGTGCTTCAATACCCACGCTCTTACTCACCATGATTATGTCAGCGGTGAGCCGCATCTTTCCTCCCTTGCCTCTTCCTCCTCGCCGCCAATCTCCAGCTAAAGCCTATCGTCTGCACCGCCCACAGCCAGAGCTCCCCCCTCCTGGTTTCCCGCCCACCAGATCGAGAAACCTCTAGATTATCTCGGATTCGCGTTTCCAGCGACAAACACTCGTCGGCGCGAGGTATCTCACAGCAGCTTTCCCTCTAATGGCGCTTGTGGGGCTAGTACATCCAGTGTTGGTCGTCCGTGCAATCAGATTGCGCTGAAGGAGTTGCACGCCGTAACAGCAGTGTCCTAAAAATGGTAGGGGCTCCGCAAAATGAATTGGAAACAAGGGTGTCCACACGTAGGCAACAGGAGATGGTTCGAGCTTGTGTCATTTTGTGTTGTACGCCGTACATATCGCCGCGGGGGAAGCGGTGTGTCGGAGCGACGGTTGTCTGTACTCTGTGGAGTTGCACTCTGATTACCAAGTGCGAAGCGAGCGTGGGCCGGACCCCTGGGGACGACGCGCGCGAAGTAGATTTGTTCTTGTTCGATTTTGCGGACTCTCTGCGGGCAGTGCGGGGAACCTAGAACCAAACGCATTTCATTGCCAGGTTCCGGCCTGCTTTCGCCAAGAACATCTCACGGCCACGCGTGTGTCTATCGCTGCGCCTGGTTCCCATCATGGCGTCGAGAGTGCTAGATAAGAAGCTCAAGAAGGTGCTGGATATGCGGACGGACACCCCGGCGTTGTTGGAGTCGCTGGAGGCGATCAGCACGCTCTTCAGCGATCACAGCACAGGCAGCAGCTCGGGAGCTGCTGCGACTACTGCCAATGCGGAGAAGGCGGGGGGGGCGGGGCATGAGTACAACACGCTTGATGCGAGACGATCGCTCAGAGAGGACCTCGAGCGGCAGGTGAGGTTGTCCAATCCCATACTCAATAGCGCTGACAGCGAAGCTAGCGGCACCTTGGAGCTGGTTGGCACCTGCAGTCTACCTACAACAGCAGTTGCAGCAGTGGGCTAATGTGGGGATATGGGGACTACGCGCAGCCAGCGCAATCTGACCGCAAGCTCTCCTGCTGTACGCTCAGGATGCATTTGTGATGTAGGCGCACGGGGGAGAGTGCTCTACATCACTTCCATTCCTGTGCTAGTTACCCCCTCTCTATAGACACATGCATGCACGACAGGCCCCCTCGGTTGCAGAGGAAGCGGAGAGATGCGGTCTAATCCCGCATAACGACAGCTCCGTACCTTAGTCTAGCTTCGCAGAGAATACAACATGAGGAAACATAAATACAAACACAGAAAGACTACCCATTCGAGATAAGACCACAGTCGAACGGGATGTGTTGAAGTCTTCACAGAGTGTAGGGGAACCGGCTGGGTACTGGGCTTATTTGGATTCTAATTAAGCCTATTCACGGAAATTATCAATCTGTGATGCCTGCAGGTGCTACTGACAAAATCACATGATTGCTTGTATGCATAACCGCGTTTGAAGATTCCTGCTGCTGTACACCAACACCAACCACCCTCTCCGTGCCCCTCGACCAGAACTACAACTTGAGCGCCTGCTTCCAGAAGAGCTTCGAGCGCCTGAGGGACCGCCTCGAAGGGCTGGAGGGGTGCGTCGCCGGGCTCGAGGACGGGTGCTCCTCCATCTCCGGGCGTCTCTCCGCCGCCGACGCCAGCATGCAGCAGTTCACCCTGAGGGCGGAGACTCTGCGGGACCAGAGGAGTCAGCTCGGGAAGCACGCCGATCAGGCAAGAGGGTGCTTTTGCTCTTCTTGTTCCGTCCCTGGCGCCACCATGCACCAAGCGTCTCCCTACTGCTGTGCGGCTGCTGGCGTGTTTTCTGTTCTAATAGCGGAGATCACTTGCCGTTTTGGCGCTATGCATCAAGGGTTTCCTTCCGTCGCTGCTGCTGCGGTATTTTTCTTCAGGCGATGAGGACGCGTGCCTTATTAAGTCCTCGCGGCCACACGGGAATCTTGGGAATGGTCGCGCGCAATATACAACCTTCCGCTGTTGGACGATCCTTCACAGCGCCCCCGCAGTCACACGGGCCAACAGCTCCAAAGGATGTAGCTTCACAAACATTTCCCTGCTGCACCGCAGTGTGCGGGGGGGTATAGACAACGCATGTGTGCATGCATGGCCGAGAAGGGAAGATGCAAATGCCGTTCCAAGCTTGTAGGGAGAAAGAGGTAAGTAGACGATTCGTCTGTTGGGCAAGGCTGCCAGTCTCTCTCATGTCACTCAAATACACCATACAGATCTCCGTCTGACACTAAACAACTTTGCGAAACCACGCATGCATGGCCATGACTGGGCGCGTGTGCATCCGTTGTTGTGTCCCACACAACAAATCGTCGCAGGTGTCCCTGTTTCTGGAGAGGTTTCAGCTCACGCCCAACGAAGTTGAGGCTCTCTCGGCGCAGCTCGAGCCCGACCAAGGCAGGCGCTTCTTCTCCGCCCTGCTCAGGCTCAAGACCGTTCGGGCCTCTTGCGGTCGGCTGGTGGGGTCCAGCCCGCAGAGCGCCGGGTAAGCTTCGGTGTTCGTGGTTTTCTAGCTTGTTTTTGTTGTTCGTCACTTGAACTTGGCTGCATGGGGACGTAAAACGAGACCGTGGTTGGTTGTGCGATTGAGTTTTTTTTTTTATGTGGTGTGTGTACGTATTCAATGAATCTTCCAATCTTCTCTTGATTTTCTGTTTCCGCCTCTGCTCTTCCCGCTCTCCCCCGCCCACCCGCCCGCCCTTCGAACTACCTTCTGTGCCGTGTGCGTGCGCTTTCCCTCAAGGTTCGAGCTGTTGGAGCAGCTCAGCAAGCACCAGGAAGCGGCGTACGAGCGGCTGTATCGGTGGGTGCAGGACCGCTGCCAGACGTTGGAGGAGGAGACGCCCGCGGCTGACGTGACCCTGCAGGTTCGTTCGATCGAGTCGCGCCAGATTTGTTGTCGTTGTTGTTGTCGTTGTTGTTGTTGTCGTTTGCTTTTTCGGTGTCATCTATTGTGAATGGCACCATGTCAATCAGTCTTATAGCCCTATTTCTCCGTCGCTCTTCCTCCCACCCACCCACCCACCCATTTACAATCCCACGGTATCCCCGCAGGCTGCGGTACGATGTCTTCGAGATAGGCCGCTCTACTACGCACATTGTCAGGTACGCCGCGCACCGTGATTCATTTCTCGATCGAGAATTACCACCTGACAGTTTGAGTGTGTGACGGGCTGTTCTCGGACGAGGACTCTGGATGACGGCAGTGTGTTTGTAGGGCTACCCCTTGTTGCCAAGTGTGATGCGTTTCCCTGGTCCCTCCGAAGGTAACACGGACTTCCTGTTCAGACCAAAAAATGTGCTCCATGCTGTAATAGTCGGAGGGGGGTTTTCTCGCCTGATGCAGATTGTCTCGACGTGTCTCAGATGCGCAGCGTCCGGGGCAGATGGGGGGACGACAGACCGCAATTCTACCCTGTACTGGATGTGTTTTCCCCTTTTTTGTCGCATGTACATGTCCTTGTCGTAGTGGAGTAAACGAGTTCTTTGCAATCAGTGCAATGTATGCAATGTGTGGTTCATGTCGTTGAACTCCGCGTTCTGTTCTCGAGTCTTTCTTTTACGTTTGCTTCCATCGTATCGTGTTTTCAGCCTGAATCAACACAAGACGGAGACTTGTGTCCTATCCTTCCATCCATGGGTGGCTTCAATATTGCTTCTCTTTTTTTGTTTTCTCTCCCATCATTGGACTCTGTCGTCTGCCCCTCTGGCCCCTATCCTCCACTTCTACTAGCTAGGCGACCCAACCGGGGTCACACAGGAGGGCGGGGTTGGACCCCCTCCTGCGGTTCCTGCCTGAGATGTTTTTATCGCGAGAAGGGTACAGCTATCCCGTCCCTCGCGACTTACGAAGTCGATTATGGTTCTCTAACAACGAGCTTTGCAGCGCGTTGCTTTCATCCTAGACCAGGATTTATTTAGTGAGAAAAAACTCACGCTGCCGGGACTCGAACCCATGATTTGGCCCTTAGCAGGCTGCGAGGGTACCCACAAGACCACCGGGGCGCCGGTGTATTATCTGTTATCCCCCGGCGTGAGCTCGGGTTCCGAAAATGCGTCAAATATGTGTGTCCTCCACATGACCCGCATTTTTTTTTTTTTTGTCTTCACTTCAAATCAGCGCTCACAGTACTAGTGTCGTGTACTCCAACTCGTGGTCCCACAGAAGAGCCCCTCTCTACCCTCCCCACCTGCGGTACGTTGCCTTCGGTTTTTAATGCGAGAAGAGTTCAGCACTCTCTTCCCTCTATGTACACACGAACTAGCGCTATCCACTAGGCCAGGGGCGGAAGCGAGAGAAAAAATCACTTTGCATGAAAAGCTCGCTTACGCCGGGATTCGAACTACTGACACAACTTTAAGTTGGTTTCGAGGATACCACCTAGACCACCGGGGCTCTTCCATCCGATCTACACGAGCGTAAATATTATAGTATGACGCCCCCCCCCCCATCCCCACCCCCTCCCTCCTGGTGTGCGCGCTTGTGTGCATTTTGTTCATTGCTGGCCTGCTGCCCCTTGCCCTCGTCTTCAGGAGAGTATAGTAAACATGCGGCGCAAGCTGCTGGTGCAGAGGTTCGTGATGGCCCTGACGTCCGGGCAGTCGTCGGTTCGACCTATCGAGATGCAGGCCCACGACCCGGTCAGGTGCGTTAATCAGCGTCGGAAACCGCCCGCCCCCCACTATTGCATAGCTGGGGGTCACACGCGTAGTCCTTGAGGCTCATCGTGCTGGAGAAGGAAAACGGCTTGAAAACATCGCACCCACCCCGCACACGCAAAAACATTTTGCAACGATTGTGGGTCACACATGATAAAAAAATCTCGTCGTGCACGAGGACGGCTTTAAAACATGGCGCCCGGGGGGGGGGGGGGTACNTGCATCCTGCTAAGGGTTTTCGGCATCTTGTGCTTACTTCCTTGCGTACGGATGACAGCTGCGCATGACTTATTTTATTTTCTGGTGCTTTCACCTCCAAAGTCAGTTATAAGCACTGTGTAACTGCCTCGATGGTGCTTGACCAATTTAACACAACGTGGTGCGATCATCCCCCTTGCGCGGAGTGAGGATTTTCCACCCCGCACAACATGATCTACTCGACCACCACTATGGTTACCGCCAAAAAAAACAGAGGTAAACAAAAAACGGTAACCTGGTTGCGGAGTTCACGAAGTGAATTGGCATGTTTTTATAACGTCGTTGCCAAGCGCCGAAAACCCAACCCCGATGGCAAACACCGAGGGGGGGGGCGTACTCTTATGTTTTGCATGCCTTAGCGGTTAGACCATTGACCACGCGTCCTCGAGAGGACGGAGCATTGTTCCCACAGGACCGATCACCGATGGCCAATCGTTCCTTTCTACTTTGCCAAAGGTGGCTCAAAAATGTCTTCCCTAGTCTGTCTATCCTAACGATATCCCTTCCCGCCTTTTCAACCCACCTCCTATGCCCCAGTACAGCTACCGTCCTTTCCTCTCTATTCCATGCCTCAAACATCTCCCTGTACGTTCCATCTATTTTTCCCCAGCCAGTCACGTACACTTCCCTCTCCTTCTTGTACCACAGACATTCCGCGACTACATGAACACGGTCTTCGCATTCGAAGCCATCACATTTCAACTCGTTGTCTTCGTCGTCTACCTTCCTGTGTCTTCGTCGACGTTCTCGAAGGCCTATGTCCCCGGTCCTGAATTTGACCTTAAGCTTTGTTCCTGCATCCATTGGTCCATGTAGGTAGTCCTTGAACCCTATTCCTTCCTTCAACATTCCGTACACTTCTAGACCCTCCTTATCCTTGGATTCTTTCCTCAGATTCTGTTCTTCTCTCTCGGCACAAGCAACAGATATCTTCTCCTTGAACCCCTGTAGACCCTCCGTTTCCAGCGTTTCATCTTCGTCGATGTCGAGCCCCTTCCATACGTCCTCTACAACCTTGACCCATTCCGTGGGTTGTCTACCCCTCTTTTTGTTTGCCCACTTCGCCTCCCATACAATTCTCGGCAACCTCTCCTCTCCCATCCCGCACATGCGATACTGCCATGTCAGCTTCCTCGCGTCTCTTCCCGACCGTAGGGATTGGATCCCCAATTCTGCCCTCACGGCTGCATTACTTGTGCGCCTGGAGCATCCTAGGATGGTTTTCGCTGCTTTCATCTGCGCCGCCTCGAGTTCTTTCACTACCTTCTTATTTCCTTCCCATACTTCTCCGGCGTACTCTAGCGGCGGTACGATTACGCTCTTCAAAACCGTCAATTTGATGCGTGTATCGAGGTGCCGGTTTGCGAGTATTGGGTGCAGCTTCCCTGCTCGTGCTTTGCCCTTTTCCGCTACCTTGGACATGTGTGCATTCCACGAGCAGTCTTTTGCGATCTCTACTCCGAGGTATGTGTACTGGTCCACTACTGCAATCTCCTCGATCCCCCACTTCCATCTATGTTCTACTGGTTCCTCCTTGTTCTCGTTGCATACCATGACGGCACTCTTCTGAACGTTGGCAGACAATCTCCACTTATCAGTAAACTTCTTCGCCGCGTCAATTTGCAGTTGCAGTCCCTCAGGGGTGTCCGACATACCGACAAAATCATCCGCAAACAGCATTCCTGAAACCGACGTTTCCGTGTCCCCTACTTTTACTCCCTTCCGGACTGCCTCTACGACTTCCAACAGATCGTTGATGAACACCTGGAACAATGTTGGGGACAGCGTGCAACCTTGTGGGACCCCCTGCTCAATGTCGAAGAATTTTGACAGTTCTCCGTCTAGCATGACCGCGCTTTTCGTGCACTCTGTCATCTTCTTCAGCACTCTCCACATTTTCCCCTTGATCCCGTATTTGGACAGTTGTTTCCACAACCCATTTCTCCATACGGTGTCGTATGCCTTTTTCACGTCCAGGAAGAAGCAGTACGTCGGCTTTCCCGCCCTCTTTCTACCTTGGATGATTCTCCCTACCGTGAACACGTGGTCTACGCACCCCCTCTTCTTGCGGAAACCTGCCTGGCCCTCACTAATGCTATGTTCCTTCTCCAATACTCCCACTATCCTATCGTTCAGCAGCTTACAGAACACCTTTCCTACTGTATTCAACAGTGTGATCCCCCTGTCGTTTCCTGGGTCAGTCTTGTCTCCTTCCTTAAACAACTTCACAACCACTCCTTCCCTCCATCTACTTGGCGTATACTCGTTTTTCCACACCCAATTGTACAGCAGTACCATCAGCTGGATCATCCCCTTCCCCCCAAACTTCATGAACTCGTTGACTATCCCATCCGCTCCTGCTGCTTTGTGGCACTTCAGCTTGTTCACACACGCCTCAACTTCGTCCTCAGTGAAATCCTTTTCTAGTTTTACGTTCCCAACGTCTGCCTTCGATGTCTCTTCTTCTTTTTGGGCCCATGCGTCCACCTCCTTCTTAAACGCGCGGTCAATAGCTTCATTCTCCGAGGGCACTCCAAGTCTCTTGTAGTGTCCTGCTAGAACTTCCCTTTTTGACCTTCCACTGCTGACTAATCCACCGTTCACACCTCGCAAAGTTGCCACCCCTGTATCCCCCCCTTGATATTTCTTCTTTCAGCTCGTCATCCCACCACTTAACCGATACCCCACATCGTACCACCTTCTTTCCCACTACTCTCTCTGCCATTGTGTTCACTATGGACTCCCACCCTTCAATCACCCTGTACCCTGCTACTTGTACGTCTACCTGTCCGTCTTCGACGCTTCTCAGCAGTTTCCTGAAGGGTTCTACACTACCAGCCAGCCCCTTCTGGAATTCATCCCGTGTCCCATCGTCTCCCAAACGCTCTACCTTCCACCGGAACACTTTCCTCTGTTTCTTACTCTCCATCTTTCTAGATCGGTCGATGTTTGCCCATATGAGGAAGTGGTCGGTCGAACCTATATCTATCGCACTTATGTGCAGCTCTGGGATCTGCGTGCTCCCCCTGTCTACCAGGATGTAGTCGAGGATTGAGTATTCATTGCAAACTGCCCGTTGCCTTGTGAACTCCGGCTTATCGCATTCCCTCCTACCGTTCAACACCATCAGTTCGTTGCTTCCCAAGATAGCATTCAAGTATCCTTACTCCGTTGTCATTCACTTTGTTCCGTGCTGTCCGGTCGCCTGTCCTCTACTGGAAGCTTTCCCTACTCTGGAGTTGAAATCGCCCACCATGACAACTTCTCCCTTCCTACTGAACCTCTGGACATCTTCCCCAATTTGTCCAAAGTTCTCCTGCGCCTTGCTTGCGACTTTCTTCGACGACGGTGGGACGTATACGTTCCCTAGAAACAAGTCTTTCTCACCCCGCTCCCCAGGTATCTTAAGCCATAGGCTTTCCTCGAATTCCGTTTTCACCACTACTTCCACCACGTCAAACAAGTGTTCCTTGACCAGGAATCCGACTCCCCATTCCCCCCTTTTCTTCGGGTCTAAGCCCTTTCTTGCCTTCCCTACCCACCGGTATTTCCCTAGTTTGCTTACCACGTCCCCATCCTTCAGCTCCTACGTCTCTTGGATTCCCACTACATGTAGATCGCTTTGTTCTACTCGGTCCACTATTTCCAACCGCTTGCGCTCACTCCTTGCGAACCCGCACACGTTCCACGACCCGACTCTCAGCTTGCGCTTTTCCCTATT